TAGGAATCGTTGGATATTTAACAACAGACACTCCGACCATATCTAACACTGGAAAAGTTGAATTTTTTGAAGAAATTGAATCTTTGAAAAAAGAAACTAAAAAATTACGAGACAATGGCGTTAACATAATTATTGGTCTCGGACATAGTGGCATTGAAAAAGATAAAATAATTGCTAAAGAGGTAGAGGATATTGATATAATTGTTGGAGGGCATTCACATACGTTTTTGTACTCTGGTACTCCACCCAGCATTGAAAAACCATATGGACCGTATCCACTGTACGTAACAAATATTAAAAATAAAGCTGTACCAATTTTACAGGCATACGCAAATACTAAATACGCGGGCAAAGTTGTTTTAAAATTTGATTCTAATGGTGACTTAGTTAGTATCAATGGTTCACCGACATTATTGAATCATGATATAAAACAAGATCCAGAAATGTTGACTGTGGTCGATAAATGGAAACCACAAGTAACTAGCATTACAAACGTTACGATCGGACGTACGGCTGTCGAGTTGATAAACAATTGTCACGAAATGGAATGCAATATAGGTAACCTGATAGCTGATTCTTTCGTATACTACAATATTATGAAAAAAGAAAATTACAATGGTTATTGGACTGATGCTCCTATTGGAATCGTTCAATGTGGTGGTATTCGGACTACACTCAACGAAACTGATCACGATGGTTACATCACTTTAGGGCAGTTAATCAATGTCATGCCATTCCAAAACAAACTGGTTAAAGTTACTATTTCTGGAAGTAGCTTATTAGAAGCATTTGAACATAGTGTTTACGACTTTGTAGAGCATCGAGGCGGATCTAAATTTTTACAAGTATCTGGTAAATTAATTGCAAAATAAATAAATACAAAAATATAAAGCATCAGAAAATTAAAAAATTTAACTTAAACGTAGTTCCTTTCGATATTTAAAAATTATTGAAGGGTTCATCTTCTTGCGTATGATCAAACATCTATTTTGGTAATTTACACAAATTTTGTAATTTGTGGATAATATTCATCATGTGTATTCACTATTCAGTATCTACATAATATCATTAACTTCAATAAATCATATTCCATTACCTCAAGTATATAACAAATTTTTTATTATCGGTTATCGATGTTTTAATTTACGTAAAGAAAAGATACTAATTTTGTAATTCATTAATACTTCTAATGAATGAATTTTTCAGTTATTATTAATTAACTAAAGACAAAATTATATAATGTAAATTTTGATAAAAAAAAAATTGTTTTTCAGGCGTTTTAATTGAGTATAATTTAGCAAACAGTCCTGGTCACCGAGTCTCTTCATTATTAATCCGATGCAGTGATTGTAACGTTCCTAAATTTGAACCTTTACAGTTAACTGCAAACTATACAATAATAATGAACAGTTATATAGCCGACGGTGGTGATAATTTTAAGTCATTTAAAAACAGATTAGAGAAATACAAAGAATTAGATATGTAATTTATTAAAGTATAAATATCCATTTAATTCTGCAACAGTAAATAGAATAAAATTTTTTTAGCATTATTATTGTTTATACTACATGCTCATTATTTTTACAAGCTTAAAATAAATGTAAATATACCATAACACCAACACTTATAAGAAACAAAACACTCATGAAGTATTTAAAATTATTTATTTAAGCATTACATATTAAAAATTTTGAAGTAATATTGTAAAGTTATCAAATGAAGTAAAAGTTAAAATGTCAAGTTAGATTTATTCAATAATTTCATTTTATTTTATTAAGCTTTTAACATTAATGAGTCATCAAATACATTTGATTAATATAAGATTTAAATTAAACTTTTTTCCATATTAATTAAACGTAGAAAATGAGTATGTATTATAAAAAAACAGATTCTGAGCGGAGCAATGAATGTATTGATTTTACAATAATGTGATTTTATTTTATAACTGTATAGTATAAATATATTTCGATAAAATACTTCAATTTTTAACTTTGAAGGTAATTTCGAATAGAAATTGAGTCTAGTTTGTACTTCAAGAGATTGAAAAGTTGTAGTACTTATTTTATAATCAGGAAAACAATAAAAAAAATTAAGAAAAACGAGATTTTTACACAAAACTATGTTTATTTAAATCGATTTTGTTTTTTGTGTACTTTAAGAATGTAGATAAAACCGTAAATGCTTGAAATTTTTACCAAATGTTTATGATTTTTATTAAATATATAAAATGTCAAAGGTTTTTTTAACTCTTTTCGAATTGTTTATAAGCATAAAAAATTTTTTTTCTATAAATGTGGATAAAAAATAATTCGCTAAGTTTTACATTATTAAATTTTAATACAAGATTTTTCATATTTAGTTCATACTGAAACCATAAATTCTAAAAATATAAAGGCAATTATTTTATATAGCATTTTAAATTCAAATTTGAATGAATTCTTATTTAAATTATCTTAATCCTTTTGTTATAATTTAAAACATTGTTCATGGGAACTAAAACTTTTAATGTATATTATATTATTATTTTACTAAACACAATACATTTTTAATTTTTAATTATTATACAAATAATACAATAGATGCAATATTTCCGAAATAATTATATCAACATACTATCGTTAAATAACTTTAATGTACTAATATATCATGATATTGATATATATTTAGTAATAAAGGCTGACAGACTGTTTCCGCTCAGAATCGTTTTCGTATACAATGATATATTATTAAATTCAAAATTAACACACCTATAATAGTGAATAACTCAACAATTAATCTACAGTAGAGTTATCAACTTCTATATTTTTATTACATAATCTTAGTTTTGTTTCACTATCATCATAATATCTAAAGTTCATATTTTATTATTAAGATATGAAGATTTCAATGCAACAGCAATATATATGGAATCGATGAGTCCTATAACTACTGGAGTAGAAGGAAGAATCAAGTTTGTATCTAATAACAATGAAAAGTCAGCAGGATCTAATATTAATACACGAAATTATCAATTTATAATAATCACATTTATTTCTACGGTAATTTTTTTTAACATTTAAGACTTCATTTATTATAATTTATACCAAAGTAATTTTAAACACGGAAAGTATTGTGCTGTATCTTATAGATTATTTTTTGTTAACTTTATATAGTTTTGATAAGCCCTGGTCATTAAAAGCCAATACTTATACTTTAAATATCTTATGTTTAAAATATAATTTGTTAATATTTATTATTTACAGTGTAAAAACAATTTTTATTTAATAAAATAAATATAGTATAATAGATTATAGGTTTTATATAATATAATAAATGTATTTTTAATTTTGTTTTCTGGATCTTCGTCAATAGACATCCTTATTATGACTTTCGACTTTCCGTCTGCGTAAAACACATGCCTATGTGGTAAAATAAAAAAAATAGTACAGCCACTCTTGATCCAGATCCTTAGTACAGCTTGTATATAACATTCATTATATGACTCTTCTCCGTGTCCGACTGATCGTGTCATTGTAAGATACGGTTGGTGCAATATTTGTAAACGCATAAAAATTCCACCGTTATTCGAGTAGTTGTTTTTTAGAGTTGGGTTACAAACATGTACAATAAATAATAAATTAATAAAAATTAAATTTGCAACTACAATTAGATATAATTGAGAACATTTAGTAAGTTTAGTCAACATCATAATCTACACCAGAAGTTTTCAAAGTGTTCTATATCAACCCCCATAGTCGATCCTGGCCTGCAAGGGGTCATACCGGCTATTATTAAATTGATTTCCGGAAAATGTTTATTTATATTTTCTCCCAAAACTCTAAATTATTATTACTTAACAAGAGGTTCTTACATTATAGACGTTTACTTGAACAACATAATTGGCACTCTGCACTAAGTATACAGTCTAACTATTATATATATATTGAATTTAGTTTTGTCATCATCATCTACTAAATTAGTCGACTATCATTGATTTCTACACAACTTTATTTTGTTATTAATATTCGACAATAAATATGTATTACTTCAATAGTAAATACGCAGCGTTCATTCACGTGCGTAAATAATTCTATTGAAAATGTTAAGCGAAAATGTAATTAATTTTATAGTTAATAAATACAACTTTAGTTTTAAAAACTCCAAAATACCATCATCGGTACAATATACTTAACAAATGCATTGCCAATTTAAAATTGAATAAAGAAAATGTGGTGTGAGACATCCATATAACACTTCCATAATACTACAATGTAACGAAGAAATAAATTTAACGTCAAATAATTAATCAATAACGGGAGACATAAAACAACTGAAATATCTGTAAACGCCCTTTCCATATGTATTCATACACAGGAGAATAATGCAATTTAATAACAACAAGATATGACATGTATAAAACACAATATATTTATTATTGACACTAATGAATGCAAATCTTTTATTTGAAGTTTAATTTAATGTATTCATAATATCAATTATACTAAGTTTTTAAATATATTATATAACGCGTATTCAAGCTGACTTCACAATTATCGATAATTAAATCACATTTGAAAGAATTGGAGATAAATATATAAATATGTTTATTTACTAGTCATAATTTAACACTATTGGAATTTAAAATGTTTAGTAGTTGAAAAATCATACCTGTAGAATACATTTAAAATATAAATATTTACAATCGCCAGGTTAGGGCAATAACAATAGCAGCACCGCATACTGTTGCCGAACTACGAATCACCACCCTTAGGTTCGACCTTTGGTTAACTATAAATCTTAGATTTTTATTTCCCTCCATTCAGACCTGATGACGTGTGTAAGATTTGATCACGTGATATATCCTTAAAGTTTGACATCTATCACTAACGTTGGGTGCAACGACTCCATCACATACTACACAATTAGGTCTTATTATTACTATTTCTATAAGTAAGTATACATATCTATGAACAACCTCAATGATAACGAAAAGTGGTAAGTATTTG